GGGAGCACCTACACGCACCAGGGGGAGCCCCCGCACGCACACCACGGGGGGCACCTGCGCACACACCACGGGGAGCACCCTCACACAGGTCTCCTTGCTCACGGGTGCAAATGCTTCTCCAGGGGTAGAATTCCGGCATCACGGGGTACCCACCTTCACCCTCTCTCTCTATCACCACATTGTGAGCTCAACAGGTGGCACTGAGGCACACGTGCTGCCACAAGGGCAGCCTGGATTCCAGCCCCAGGCACAGCACAGGCCATGGAGGCCACGGAGACAGGGCCAGACCACGTCCCTCCCACTCCCACTGAGTGGGCCTGTGGAAAGCCGGCTGGTGCCCGTCTATCCAGCACCTTCCACAGTGCAGCAGGGCGGGACTTGCACTGAGAAGCCATCACCCCCCATGCATCCACGGAGGCTCCCGGGTTATCGCGTGTCCATCACCTCGCCTAGCCCATGTCACCCCACCGAAGCCCCGAGACAGAAGACGGGCAGACAGGTAACCGTGTGCCTCTGGAAGCGTCGGTTTCTCTCTGCCAGGAGCATCTCCTCCCGAGCAGGCTACCGGACGCGGCGGCAGCCAGAGCCAAGAGAAATGGTTGGACGGTGGGGAGGAAAACAGACGTACGGAACCAAGAACTTTTCGGAGCAATGACCCCAGGCAGCACCAGGGAAAAGCCTTCTTCTGAGGATAAGAATGGATTTTCAGAAAGGTCTCTGGCAACACTCTCTGTGAACTTCAGGAGAGACCCTTCCTGCACTCCCCAGGCTCGCAGCCTGGTGTGGCCACGACTGCTGCTGTCTCTCCCTCTCCCTCGTGCCAACAGGAGCTGGCACAACCTCCCCGTGCACTCCGCCAGGTCGAAATAATGGTGGCTGCAGTGCAAATTTGTGCAGTGCACACACCACACGCCAGGCCCTGTTTGGTGCTGGAGACACAAACAGGCTTTGCTGATTTATAGCCAGTGGCTGCTAACAGGCTACAAAGCAACCCAGAGAGACCAACCCCCAGCTCCCTCACTGGGTCCTCGTCAAGGTCAGGGTGTCGGACTAGCAAGGCAGTACGGCAGCCTCAGCAGCATCTCCGACGTTTGGATGCCGGGGGAACGGCCGCCTTCCTGCTATTCCTGAACACACAGCTCTCCACTGTGATCCGGCCCAACACCAACTTCCCAGGCGGGTAGGCTGAAGGGGGTTGGGGCCGGGCTGGGCGAGAAGCTGCAACACTCTATAGGCGAGCAGGGCCTCCCCACTCCGGGAGGTTCTGCAGAACTGACACCAAGCATCCAGGTCACGCCCGGGCACGGAAAGAAAAGTGGTCAGTGAAGCTGTCACCTTCCTCGTTCCAGGCTTCCACGGCCATGCCCAGGTTCCGGGCCTGAATCTCCCCTCGGTACACAGGAACAGAAAAGTTCTGGCCCATGAAGCAGGAGATGATGTCGGTGCCACCTGCAGACACGACAAAAGGAGACCCACATTCAGAAGACGGGGAGAAACGGCCGTGTTTATTATTGGGGAACACCCCGCGAGGGAGACCCCAAAGGACAGCTAGTCCCACTCTTTCTCGAGATGAATACAGAAAAACCCCCGGATGGTTCCGGCTTCTAAAGGAAGAAACGGAATTGCAGCAAACCGCCCGTGTCTGGGGGACTTATTCTGTGACCAAGGCTTCCTGCCGCAGGACGCACAAAATAGATGACCTCTCGTGGTCACCTCGAAGTTCAAGACGCGGGCTCAGGGAAGACGGAAGCTTCGCCCGTTAGATCTGCGGCATGGGCACCGTCTCGCAGACGGTCACGCACAGAGGCCCTTGGCTGGCATGTGCACGCACGCGGCCGCTGGGAGAGCAGAAACCCCGAGGTCCGTGCAGCGAGGGCCTCCCACACGAGGCGGCGTGGGATGGGAAACACTCCCGTTTCAGGAAGGGACTCGAAAGGGAGTCCAATCCCAAGAGCCACGGAGACAGGAGCGGCAGGAACCCCCGAAGCCGGACCCACCGCTGCCGACGACTGTCCCCTTGCTCCCCTCCCCATGAAAACGAGGATCGCGTTCGTCTCAGCGCCCCGGGCCCCAGGGGGGGTGCCAGCACGGCCCCCAGATGAGCACCAGATGCTCTCAGGGGACGCCGTGACACACACAGCACTGGCCCGGCGCCGAGAGGCTCTGAGCCGAAACGCCCTGCTGTTAGAATGTCACCGAATCGCCCAGCAGTACCGTGGAAATCCACTTCCCGAAGCTTCTACAAACCAGCATTTGGGGCAGGGAACGTGGGTGGCTCAAGGCCCACAACTCTCAGGAGGGTAAGGAGCGGACGTGAGTCTCCCGACACCTGGCTCCCCTCCCAGCGGCCAGAGACCCTCCACGCAGACAACCTGCTCATACAGACAGGAGCTCCTCAACCCTATTCCTGCTTCTCCCGAGGACCGTCTTGTCTCAGGACACATAGCTGTTATGTCTCAGGGCTTCACGGCACCCCACCGGGTGGTACGCGGGCAGCAGACATGTACGGATGTCACCTATCGTGAGGCCAATGACTCCACGAAATAAGGGACTGGAGCCCCGGCGTGCCCACCCAGTCGGCCCCGGGAGATCCCACGCTACAATCCACTCCTCGTGAGGGAAAACTGAGGCCCAGAGGGGAAAGGGAGGTCCCAAGACCACTCTCGGATGTTGGCGGGATCCCTGCTCGCCCCAACGGCCCAAGACCCCCAGCCTCGGGCCAAGGGTCCAGCTGGAAGGAGGAGGGCTGGCGGGGGCGTCCTCAGCCTCAGGCTTCCAGCAAATCAAATGGCGTCTTTTAAAGATGTGCTTTCAGAAGAATACAGTCACCTAGGGGCGCCTGGGTGGCGCAGTCGGTTAAGCGTCCGA